GTGCACTGCAGTTCATGGGGTTAGAATGAGTCAGACATGACTTAGCAACTGAACAGCAACAAATGTAAAATACCACTTACAGACTAACTGACAAATTATAGGCCAATTATCAGAATATATGTCATCATTATGTTTTGGGTGACACAATTTACTCATGAACATTCCCAATCATTACATGCCAGTGAATTTCAACCTCTTAGATACCTGATCTCAGGCTCTAGGGTCTAGACCACAATCTACTTTTATTCCAAACTTCCTTTCTTAAGGTAGTGTAATCTGCTCTAGCTTCTTGGTACCTTATCATCACATTCTGTTCATGAAATCAGTTGGAAAATGTGAAGGTATTGCTGAGTCCTAAAGCAGGATTCCGTCACTCAGGAAAGCAAGACACCGTGTAAGGCATGGAGGATACTGCATCATCATGCTGCAGGGTATCAATTCAATCGCTTTTAATTTTGTGGAATCTATTTTTGCTTTCAGAAATTATCTTGGACAATTTGAAAGAAAGAAGATAAGATTATGTGAATCTTTTCCAAGGATAGCCTGCTCAATAAATGTAATAAATCATCTGAACCTGTTCTATGATTTTTTTCAAAAAAGAACCACAGACCACACTGAAAGTCATTTTGACATTTCAGCATTTTGATTATTTTTTTTATTTTTATTAGGTGGGCACACTATATATATTACACCTTCATCTTACCAACGATTCCATATTTCTTGTAAAGGCTTTGGAAATGGTCCAGTTATTTGCAATAACCTGAAACTGACCCGCACTATATTGCAGTAGGAAAAGACACTATTTTATTTATAGTCACCATCTCACATGTATTTACTGTCTCTAGTCTCCTGAGAAGCACAGAAAACTGTCCTAAAAATTTAATATAGGAGAAAGTATATATCAGATAACTTCCTACTTTGAAACCTTTTTTAAAAACAATGCATAACTCAATTCAACTCAACAAACATTTACTGAACATTAACTCTAGTTTAGGCACTGTTATAATATGAGGCTTAGTTTTGTTTTTGCTTTTTGTTATACAGATCAATTATTTCATGGGTCTTTACAAAGTTTTTCAAAATTCACAAAGACTATTTTGCTTATCCCCTTTGGGAAGTCGGAAATAAAAGGGGAGGGTGCATTTTCTTCTACCTCATTTCTAGAATTTCCCTATGTAACCCTGATCAATTCCCACCTATTCTTTCTTTAAAACAATGCTATTTTGTTTCTTCTAAAAATGTTTTTTTTTTTCCTCCTTTTAAAGTTACTGAAAGCCAGACAACTCACTGAACAACTCAAGGAAGGTGGCTAGAATTATGTTGATATGTGCAGTCTTCTCCAGGGACCCAGGTTGTTTGGACTGGAGGGATTGGAGCTGGAAGATGAGAATACCTGACTCACAGAACAGGGGAGGGATAAGGAGCAAGAGAATCTGGCACATGGCATATCCAGCTAACAGAAGAATCATAAGGCAAACACCTAGGGAAGGTGGCAGAAACTTCTGAAGGAGTCAGGTCAGATAGGCCCTGAAGATGTATAGTGGAGGAAGGAAGAGGATTCAGGCCGAAGGCAGGAAAAGGGCTGGTGACACCCCGGTACTGTCAGAAAGGCAGCTGTCCTGCTGGTTTCAGAGCAGGGCAGAGACAGTCCTTATGCACATGTCCCCATGATAAAGCTTCACAGAAGATGCCACGAGGATGGACCTGTTTATCCACTGCTGCTGCTGCTGCCAAGTCACTTCAGTCATGTTCAACTCTTTGGGACCCTACGGACTGTATACAGGCTCCTCTGTCCATGGGATTCTCCAGGCAACAATACTGGAGTGGGTTGCCCTGCCCTCTTCCAGGGTATCTTCCCGACCCAGGGATTGAACCCACGTCCCTTATGTCTCCTGCACTGGCAGATGGGTTCTTTACCACTAGTTCCATATGTATACTTAGATCTGGGATGGGGGTGGCAGCAGACAAGAAGAAGGAAGGGGGAACTTTTTTTAATGAATATAGGAGGAGGAAACTCAACTGAATTTTAGACAAGCTCTAAATACTGAGTATGCCTTTTGACCTTGAAGTACTATTACTTGATCATACCTATTCATTTAAACCTTAGAAATACAGTTCACAATTATTAGTCTATAGAACCTGTAAGGTATTTTTACAGGGCATAGCTTTTCATTTTAATGTCCCGTATACATTAATGTCACATATGTTGATTTAAACAAATAATTCTATATATCAATTAATAAGTCCCCTCCCACTGTAGATTTCTAGGGAGATATATTTTGGTTACTAGCAACTTATACTTTATATGAAAGCATGTGATAGACAACTAAAACACAGTTACTTTAGTAAATCCAGAATAATCACCTTCTCATATGGGTGAGAACAAGTGATTTTCAACTTAATTAGGTTTGTAAATCAATGTGAATATTAGATCACTTATAAAAATAAAGGAAAATAGGTCTGATGTATATGCATGTCTCTAAGGGCTATCTGCCTCCCTAAAAATATCTTTAACAGACTCTGACACATATTTAAACATACCATTTCCACAGCTCCCATTCCATGGTAGCTCAGAAAACTAAGTTCCTGCCTGACATATGAAATATTAGATTCTTTCTTGAATAAATTTTTTCGACTTTGATCTACACAATAATTGGTTTGCATAAATCTTCAATGTACTTCTTAGATGAAATAAAAACTTTTTAAAGAGAAATTGTGGTCAAAGAATGGCATTTCATGAGACTTTAAACTTTGCTACCTGATAAAAAGTAGAGTAAAGTCTCTATAAATAACCAAAGTAACAAACAGAAAGAGAACTTCATTTCACCTCAATGGCTTACTCTTTCTATGAGCGTCTTAGCTGTATGATTCTTCAGGTAGTAATTTATCTTTTTATTTACCTAAAAAGGAATTAGGTAGTTCTCAACCTAAAATGAAAGAGAATAGGAGACCAATCGAAGAGTTAAACACCTGTTAAAAATATTAATTTGCATTCTAAAATCCCAAGACTCTGAGAAGTCATAGGAGATCTAGGAGATCTATAAGGTTTCTCAGTAACTATAAAGTCTTTCAAAATCGCTCCAGAGATGGTTTAAACTAACCAGATGCATCAAAAATCACGGTTCACAGAACTAAAAATACACTGACGTTTTAACAACAGGCTTCCTATGATTCAGAATTCTGGTAACATTTTTAAGTTTCACGAAATTTATTTAACTTCGAACTTGATTGAAACTACCTTCCACAAGAGTCTTTTATAATTTCTTATATCTTTCAATCTAAGAAAATAATTCCCCCGACTGAGGAAGTAGAAGTCAATTGTCTGTTATTTTCTATTATCATGTAGATGAAATAAGAATATTAGTTCTCCTCTATCAGAAAGAGAGCTCAAAAACATCTACCAACTGACAGATCTGAACATTTTTCACTTCCTTCCAAAAGATGAAAAATCACATCAGACAGGAAACACATTCTTTAGATTAGTGACAGGTGTAGAACATGCACACCAGTGCATTTATTTTCAGTGTCAGCAGCACACTCAGCAACAGAGGAGACAACTCTTCCTTTTTATTGAAGTGACACACATCATATTATTCCTTCATCTACACATCACCAAGCAGAAAAGTTCCCAAGCAATAAAGCTACTTGATATTGGTTGAATGCCAGGCTCTTCTTTTTTAAAAAAATAAAATTGCAGTGCTAAAGAGAGAGAGATGAAAAGGAGGAGGAGGACATGGAGGGGATGGAGGGTGGTGATGAATCTAGCTTAAGAATTTCTTAAAAAAAAACACACACAAGAATTTCTTTAGGGAGGAAAGAGGGAAAGTTGCCTCTATTCTCAAACTCATTTCTCCACAGAACAGTAAACTTATTCAGGAGCTGATAAATTGAGCAGCTTTATTTAGAAGCCAAATGATTTAGACTACACAGTTCAGGATATCCTTAAATCTCCAGTAGAAAAAGGGTGCTAATGAAGTAAGAGTTTCAACTGTAACAATAAAAGCCCCCGCCAGCCCCCAGGGCGGCCACCAAACACTCTTGTCTTAGTTCAGTTTTCTCTTTTTCCCAGGAGCCAAATTAACAGTAACATCAAAGCAGGAAACCGGTGACACTGCTCAAGATAACATTCTGGAAAATGGGAGAGTAAAAGAAGATCCAGCACAAGACTGCATTTAGGACTTACCTGCTCTGATCCCAGTTGGCAGCGAAAAGGACTAGAATCTTCCTGCCATAGTGGTCCAGATTGGCCAGGCCCCCAGGGAAACCATCCTTGAGTGCCTGCTTGATGCCAGGGTCAGTGGCCTTGAAGCTTTTGAACATGTCCAGGTTCTGCTGCCGGTACTCAAAGTATTGGGCCAGGAGGCGGAAGGCCTCAAAGTGATGAAACTTCCTAGCCCGCAAGAAGCGTAAGATGAAGGCATCATCTGTGCGGAGAAAGCCAATGTCCGGCCTAGTGATGACCATGTCCCTCACCTCCTGGATGTCCTGGTGCAGCGTGTCCGGATTCTCGTTGAGCTCCAGGCGGGCTTTCTCCAGGGTCTCAGGAGAGAGACCCGCTTGTAAATGAGTCATTGTCCTGCTGTCCCCGAGTCTTGCCTCTCTTTTGCTGGCTGTCCCACCACCAAGCTGGCCCTGGCCACCACCACACTCCGGCCTCCAGACCTCCCTGCTGCCTGCTTCCTCTTCTTTACAGGAAATGATTTGTCTTGGTGTCCAATCAAGTACCCTGTTGCTCCTGCTTTCCTGCACCTTTTCTCCGAAAGATAGGAACTTCTTTCCCCACCCCTCCTTAAAAGCAACGTCCCGCTTTGGTTCCCTCTTCCTTTTCCTCCAAAGAGATGCGGCCCTCCGGTGGCCCAGGACCCCGCTTCTTGTCCTCTCTCTCTAACAAAACACCCCTAATTGCACCCAGCACAGGGGGTGCTGATCTTGGTACCGTCCTCTTCTCTTCCGAGATGGAACAAAAACAACCCCCACGCACATCTCAGCCCCAGCACTGTGATGCTTCTGCGGTCCCTACTGAACGCTGCTCCTGCCAGGGATAACGATGGAAATTCTGATTAATAATAAGGTGGCTCTTCAGCGCGCTGAGCTGGGGCGGGGGAGAGAGAGCGTCTTTGCCAGAAGGAAAAAGAGAAAAAGAGAAAGAGAGGGGAACGGAGCTTATTTCTTCTACTTATTCAGAGATGCTATTTCTAAGACATTTGTGGGATTCCGTTGAAAACGATCAGGATCCAATTAGGTGGCGACTGCAGAGAGCGCACCTTCCCTCCTCCCCTCCTGGATACACCGTGATCTCTTAAGGCACCAGAAGGGTTTTTGGTGGCGTTGGTACCCGCGTGGGCTCCCCCTCACCCCCACCCCCACCAACTTCTGCCTGCCTCTAGCCCTTTATTTCAACGGACTTGCTGCGGAGGGGGGTGGCGGGGAGGGATATCTCTCTGGGAAGGTACATTTCAAAAGCGAGGCTGGGGGGAGGAGAGGGTGGGAAAGAGGAGAGGAAGATAAAATTAAAATATCTCTACCTTTTCTACAATGCCCCAAAGCAAGAGAGAAGAAAGAGCAGCCGGCTCCTACCAGCAAACCCGGAGGCGGGGACGCTAAGCAATGCGGCACTCCCTGGCATCCATCAGCCGCGGCTTCGGAGGCGGCGGCGGCGGCGATCGCAGCATCAACTCCTCTCGGTGGGATGGAGCGAGCAGAGAAGAGTGACGGCAGCGGGGACCTGGGCAGAAGACGCACTGGGGAGCAGCCCTGACCACATCGTCGGCGAGCAGCCGCTTCCTCTCCCCGCGGGAGGGGTGGGGGGTGGGGGGAGACCAGAGCTAGGGCCCCCGCTGTCCCAGGTCCTCGCCCGGCCCTGCCATTCTCGCCTGCCGGAGAAGAGAAGGAAGCGAGCGAGAATCGAACGCCTGGATGGAGGAGGCCACGCGGGCAGCCGCTGCCTTTGTGCGCTCGGAGCCGCTGGGGCCGAGGGCGCGGCTGCTGCGGGCCCGGGGCCCTCAGCCTGTGCGCGCCCGGGCGGCCGAAGTCAGACGCGCCCCTCCGGGCTGCCGCCGCGGCCGCTGCCGCTGCTGCTGCTGCTGCGGCTCCGGCTGCCGCTGCTAAAAGAGGACTCGGCTCAGCCCAACTCCTAATTATCCCAGCACAGATCTCGCTGCGACGTAAGCACTCACTCAGCTCGCGCACGCACTCCGCTCCTCTCGCCCTGACTCGTTTGGATAGGACCGCAATTTCCGTGGCATTCAGATATCCCGAGCCCCAAGTTTAGCCCGCTCCTGGTCCCCCCACTCCCGGGCCGGCTACTCGGGACGGGCATCGCGGGGCCAGGCCGGGTAGCGACGCCCCGCAGCCTCCCCACGCCCCTCTTTCACCCTTTGTGTGCAAGACCCCTGAGCTGCCCGGCGGCGAGTGGCTGTTGTAGATGGTAATTCAGCGACACAATATCTTCTAGTTCCTGTAGGAGGTAATTATGATGTGGAAGAAGTAGGGAAACATTTTGTACTTTCCGCATTTGTTGTTGACAGAAATGTTGAATTTAGAAAAGACCAGAGTGGTTCCACAGCATTGGGCTGATGATTAAGCCTCCGGAGGAACTTATATGAATAGTATTTCAACCACTCTGGCTGCTAAATTCCTATTGAAGAGGATGGAAATGAGCTCGGGGTGGGGGTGGAGGGACCCGTTTTCAGAGGAAGGAAAAACAAGTACTCTTTGACTTCTCATCTCATAATAAAACATGTTTCTGGAGATGCATTTGATAGTTCCCTCAGTTTGATACATCTGTATACTAGAATCATCATGAACAGAAGTCTTTGAGGTTAAGATGACTGTCTAAGGGTTTGAGAAAAATGAACGTTTTGTATTTTCAAAGCACAGCATGTATTTCTGAGCCTGTCACTTTATAAACTTTTGGCTTAGAAAATGTTGAATGGAGTCCTGAGTTCGGATTAACTCAATGCAACAAACATCTGCTGAGCTCCACTGGGTGTGAGCCATTGTCCTGGTCTATGGATGGGTGGTCTTGAAGATAAAACATTGTTGTATGTGAGACTATTAGAACCTTCAGATTATAAAACAGGCCTTCTGGTACTGCTTTCATGGTGATGGTGCTGACAAAGAGAGAGAAGAGGGGTGGCAGACCTGCATACCACTTTATTAATTAAACCAACGCAAAGTAAAGCAAACCAGAACAAGAAAAATTTTATACATACAGATAGTCATTATACTCAAAGAATGAGGGAGGTGGAAAATAAACTATATATAAACACACACACATCTATATGTATATATATATGGGCTTCCCAGGTGGTGTTAGCGGTAAAAAAAAATCGCCTGCCAATGAAGGAGACTTAAGAGAGAGGGTTAGATCCCTGGGTGAGAAGATCCCCTGGAGGAGGGCTTGGCAATCCGCTCCAGTATTCTTGCCTGGAGAATCCCATGGACAGAGGAGCCTGGCAGGCTACAGTCCATAGGGTCACAAAGAGTCGGATACCACTGAAATGTTTTAGCACTACATATTTTTATATTTACGCATTATACATATATATATATATATATGCACTATATATATTCAAAGTCCTTCTAGGACTTTATGTGTTTATGACTCTCAAAAGCATTCTGAGTGCAACATGAATTGTTAAAATATTTGGGTTCCTATTTCCAAAAAAATTGAAAAATTCAGTGTAGGACAGTATTCAGCTTTCAGTGTCTAACTGAGGAAAATGATTCGTATCAAATGCATAGAGAGGTTTTAACTATCACCAATAAGGAGACACAGTTCTCCATGGGTCTCATATTTCTTCATGTCTTATGAGCAAGGCACTAACTATCCTTTTTTCGAGACCATTTTTCAAGGCTGTGTGCATATTGAGCAGCTTTGGAAGAGCCTGAGAAGCTGCAGATAGTACTTCCATCTGAAGGAAGGACTGGTTTGCTTAGGGCTTTAGAGAAAGAGAGATACTGTCTCTCTCCTGAACAAAGGGCAAGCAGATTTACTTGGTTTCCTTCAACTCAAGAGTTACTCTCCTGTAACACCACCTACTGGGTATGCAAATGTAACTCTTCTCTAAGGCTTGTGGGAATTGGGCTCAGAAAACCAACCCTAAATATGCTGATGCTCAGACTGCTTGCTGAGTCTGAGTCTTTCATCTGTAACCCAGGAGTTTTGCATCCATGAAACTGTGGCCATCTAACTTGTTCGCTTGCAGGAAGGGTTAAATAGATCCTTCAAGGTGCTTAAAATTGCTTAATTTTGTTCCCTGAGATGGAAATATTAAACTATATTTTTAGAGAAGAATTTATAAAATAAAACCTGTTGGTCATTGAAATTGTATAACCCATGTTTAGTGATGATGTTTTCATTATATATCAATAATACAATTGCCTCAAAAAGGTTCATTTCAACATATCAATATATGATATAGATCACTTCTGTCATGCAGCAGCATTGTTGAAGCTGGTCAGTTAGTTGTATTTACAAACTACTAAGTCCTTCAATCATTGCACTTTTATTCTGTCTCACTTGTACATTTGAAATCAGTTCTGAAGCCAAAATAAATATGTAAAGCCTTCTAAAAATGAAACAAGATGTTTATCCAGATGACACCAGAGCATTTAATTCTCATTCAAAATTAACTCACTTTGACAAATTAATGGAAAGTAATGTAAAAACTGTTGTTGTTCAGTCACTAATTCATGTCTGACTCTTTGCCACCCCATGGACTACAGCAATGTAGAAACTAGAATATGAAAATAAATTAAGCAACAGGAATAATTAAATCATAATTGGAAAATGATTAAATTAAGGACTTCAGGTGTTTTCAAGCAACCAAAAGGACAGTTGGTTTTACTGCTGTATTGAAATGGAGAGAGTGGTTTTTGTTTTAAAGCATTTTATCCCATTTGTTGTCCAACAAAATATACGTACCATAAGAGGCACAAAATGAGATGCACAATTCAGTGACATATTATAAAGTAAACACCCACCCAGGTTAAGGAATAGACCATTGCAGGTACCCATAAAAGCCCCCTTATCCTCCCCTCATAACTACTGGCTTTTCTTCCCCAAAAATGAAACCATTCTATCTTCATTTTGAAAATAATCACTTCAAGTCACTTGTCTTTCTTTAAAATTTTGCAAACTAAGTAACTATGCCCTACAAATTAGTCTTTTTTCTTGACTTAAATAAATATAGTCATTCATATGTGATTTTGTGATTGATCACTTTCTTTCAATATTATGTTTGTAAGATTCACCTAACTGGTTGCATGCAGTTAGTTCAACCATAATCAGTGATGATGCATAGAATTCCATTTTACAAATGACATTCTTATCCATTCTCCCGTGCATGAAAAGTGTGTTGTTTTCTCTTTCGGACTATTAGGAGTCGTGACGTATGAAAATTCTGGTACAAGTCTCTTAGTGCATGTGGACATAACCTAGGAATGAAATTGCTGGGTCATGTGGAATATGCATTTTCAAATTCAGTTGTTATCATTGTTGTTTAGTTACCCGGTCGTGTCCAGCTCTTCCTTGACCTCATGGTCTGTAGCCCGTCCGGCTCGTCTGTCCTTGGAATTTCCCAGGAAAGAATACTGGAGCAGGTTGCCATCAACCCAGGGATGGGCCCCATGTCTCCTGCATTGGCAGGTGGATTCTTTACCGCTGAGCCACTAGAGGACACCATCAAATACAGTAAACAATGCCAAACTATTTATATCCCAAAGATTGTGCCATTTTACCCTGCCTCCAACAGTATGTAAGCTTTTTCACTGTACCACACTTCTCATAAGTTCTTACTATTGTCTATCACTTTGACTGTATTTTAATTAAAACCATGCTTTTATTTAAACAGGAGAATTTCATAGTGGTTTTCATGTACATTTCCATGATTGCTAATGCGGTTATGAAGTTTCCATACATTTGACCATTTGTGTAACCTTTTTTGTGAAGTATCATTTTGAGAATTTTGCCCACTTTTAAGTGGATTGTTTATTATAGTTATAGTTCTTTATAGATTCAGAATATGAATCCCTTGTCAGTTATATATGTTACAACTATCTTCTTCCAGTCTGGGACTTGTTTTTTTACTCTTTTTAATAGTGTCTTTTGATTAACATAATTTAAAATTTTAATGTAGTTTAATTTTTTCCACATATAGCATTTTTGTGTCCTGTTCAAGAATGTTTTAGGTCACTGAGATATTCTCTGATATTACCTTTTAGTTGTTTTATTCTTTTGCCTTTCACACTGGGACCTCCTGAGACTGGGTTTAGTGCAGGGTGTGAGACTATTTATTGAAAAGACTATATTTTTCCTAATGAGCAGAAGAGCTACCATTGTCACAAAATAACTGTCCATATATACATTGATTTTAACTCTACACAAATTTTAAGCCCCACAAGATATATCGTTTTACAACCAATATTTCTCAGTGTTTCTCAAAGTAGGTGCCCCAGGCCAGTACCATTAGCATCACCTGGGAAGTTGTTAGAAATGTAACTTCCCAGCCCTGACATACTGAATCAGAAATCCTGGTGAGGGATCTAACTGTCATCTGGACAGCCTTTCAGGCTTTAATAATTTATACCAAAGTTTGACAATTGTTGCTCTAGATGTACATACCTATTTATCCTTTTCATTATTCTTCATTCCACATTATCATGTATAGTCTCTATTGTGATAGTTAGTGGCAAGATTCATTCGTCCAGAGGTTTATTTTGTTTTTTTTCTCCCTCTCTCTTTTTTTCCTATATAGGTAGTACTACAGATAAGGGTATGTATGGTCTTTAATAGTATTGCATAGATGAGGTTTTGCAGAAGTAGTTGACAAATTCTCATTTCACCTTAGTATTGTATTACTGGTAATATCACACCTTCACAGAAACCAGTAATGGGAAATTGATCCAGCTATCCCCTTGATGAACAAATACTTCCCAGAGACCCTATTTCATGCAGTCTAGGTGATTGAACTGCTCTCTCCCTTCTTTCAGAGAAGTAAATGTACTCAAGGAAGTGATTACATTAAATTATTAGCCTGATAGTTTTTGTTAAATTCATAATACATATTATATATAACTATTTTAATTATCTCGTATCACAGATCTATATTAAATTAATTTCTTAGTTATTTTA